GACCAGGTGTATATTGTTTGAGTGGTCTGTTTAGAAAATGATTGAATAGGTCAAGTCTGGTAGTTATAAGACTGAACATGCATACTTACTGCATAACTTTTGTTTACTACAAGTAATTTATGTATAACGAATGCACTTCCCCAGTATGGATTGGTAGCACAATTAATTCAAGTAAGTTTATTAGTGAGGAGAGATTTAAAACTTGGAACTCCTTTAACCCCTTAAGGACCAAACTTCTGGAATAAAAGGGAATCATGACATGTCACACATGTCATGTGTCCTTAAGGGGTTAAAATTGTGTTTGGTTTATCAGGGATAATCGTGTTTCATCTTGTTTCAGAACATGCCAGTGCTTATTTATAATCTTTTTCATATCTATACTCTTATTGTTAAAATCAAATACAACAGGGTTAAAGGAACGTCTTTCTTTTTTTATATTTCTTTCTTTAATTAATTTGAACTTTGTTTATAATAGTTTCAAGATCTTTTGCAGGGGAATTCTTTTCTAAGCATTAATTATTTAAAAGAGATGCTTGATGTTTAAAATCATCAAGTTTTGAACAATTCCTCCTCAAACACAGATATTGGCTTTTTGGGGGCACTAGCAAGCCAAGGTCTGTCGTGACAGCTAGTTTGGTCTATGACAATGTTTGTTTTTTTATGAAAATGTTAGTAGAGTTTAAAAAAAATAAAGTTTTAGTGTTGATGTGCTCATACTCTTTTTTTTAATGAGTATATTAAGACCTTTTCCTTTATCTAAATATTGGGTTTAAACATTCTTTGTTAGCGGAGTAGGATCATGAGGTGGTTTGTGGTAGACATCGGAATCACTGAGTTGTCTTAAGGCCTCTTCTATGTACATATCTTTAGATAGTATAACCTGATCACCTGATTTATCAGCCAGTTTTATGTCAATGTCATCTTGCTGTAATTGTTTCAGAGCCAATCTTTCATGGTAAGTAAGGTTAAAATGATCAGATGTTTATTTTAATATTATTAAAATCTTTTAAAACAAGCTTCTCGAAAACTTCTAGAGGCCCTGATTAAAAACTAGACGAGTCAAATTTTGAATTTTCTTTTAGATTTTTTCTGAAGGGATAGGGGTAGTAGTTGTGTCTTGCACAGAATCTTTAGAGCAAAAAAAACATCTTTTTGAGGTGGTTTTCCTGACAACTTTATTAACATCTAAACATGCCTGAAAGGGTTTAAAAGGGTGGGGGTGGGGGAAACTTTAATCCTTTACTCATAACAGCAAGTTGTGTGGAACTGAGTTAATTGGTATAATCATAAGTATCTGTATCATTGTGGTCTTGGGATTTCATTCATATATTCTTTTCTGGTTGCAAGTGGTTCGTTATAATTAAGAGTTTTTCTTTTACTGTCGATCTGTGCAATGCCGTGGTGATAAGTTTGGGAGCGTGGGCGATCTTTAGTTGTCATGTGATGTGATGGTCTTCGATATTTATGAGGCACTTGGGAATATTTTTGTTCCTTTTCAAATTGCTGTTTGGGAGTATTACCATGATTTTTATTGTTATTTGCTCTGGGCTTGGGGTAGTGAGAATCAGATCATGATCTCTTAGAGTGATAATTTTGGTTTGGTGAGGATTCATATCTGTGAGGGTTAATGATGTATTTGTGATGTTTGTAATCCTTAGGAGTCCTATTTTTGTAGTCTGGTGTCTTGGAAACATGTTTTTTTGTTGAGATGACGTTCTTATTTGGTTATTAGAGTAATCTTGTTTGTCTCTAGCATATTTTTTTGTAACTTTTATATGTTTTGTGTCTATTTTGACGTTTTCTTATTTACTTTGGATGAGGATCACGGTTTGTTTAAATACGTGTATCAGTAAAAGATGTAAGCTCTTCTTTGAGATCATTAATATTCTTGTCTAAAAAAAAAAAAAAGAGTTTTGAAATTATTTTTATTAATGTTTCCATTAGGCTGAATGTACACGTTTCCGGTTTGTTCTTCCATTCCCTTGTGAATTCCTCATCATCTTGATCTGAAGTTGTTGTTTAAATAATTGTAAACCTCTAGGTGTTATTCTTTTATAAATGTACTTTTTGAGGGTAGCGATTTCCCATTTTAGTTTAATTTCGTTAGGACTTTTTTCCAATTGGATAAAAAGCTCTTGTTGGCTAAACGTGGGAGGTCTAAGGTAAATGGGACTGGCTTCTTCTTTACCTAAAACATTATTGATGTTTAAAGTATGATTATTTCTAGACAAATCATACCCTGCCCTTCCCACCTCTCGTCATATTATGCCTACTACACCTATAGTTCTCTTAGGCCCATGTTAAGTTCTTACCATCTGTCACCCATGCTGTCTCCATGAAAGAATCCCAGGTGGGGATCATACCACCCACGCTCGATACATAGAGCGATGTGTCTGCTCATGATATTGTAAGACTTTAGCTATTACTTTTATTTATATCGATACGGAGAGCACTATTATTTTTTTTCCTTTTTATATTGTTCACGTCACAATTATTCCACTGCTGAAAGAACATTAGAGAGATATCCTATAAGTGGGGGATCTAAACCAATACATGCTTATTAATCTGGAGCCGGTCTGAGCTCCTCTATATGTGAGTTGGCAATTGTGGATTTATATGCTGTATGTACATCATCTGAGCCTACATATGGCACTATTGGTTTTCCTGTTTCTGCTCTCTTTCATATGCTTTTATGTGAAGCCACTATCAGGAACTATGTAAGAATATCTGTGACAAAAAAGAACTACAATGTTGGTACTGTTTTTTTATCCTTTTAAGGGCAATGCTGGTTTTATTATATTGTTACCTTTTTAATTGTTTGCTCTATTTTAGCATTTTCTATTTACCCATTTAGTTTTTGTTTTTTTTAAATATACCTTACCCTTGGCACATCTTGTTCCCTTTTTGAGAATTACATCACATCTCTCGCCAGCATGCACTGATGACAGATGTAAAATATGCACAGAATTGACATTAGGCGACAGGTAAAGAGTTCTGGGCTGCCAATATCACGTGTGCCGGGGGTGTAACTCGCTAAAACACAAAAGTGCCAGCTACTATTGTTGTGCAGTGTTTCAAGCTGAAACACTGCACATTCAGGTTCCTTGCTCCATGAGCACTTCAAAAAGCAGACGTGGTCATGGACATTGGAGTAACTCTTTAACCCCTTAAGGACCAAACTTCTGGAATAAAAGGGAATCATGACATGTCAAACATGTCATGTGTCCTTAAGGGGTTAAGTGAAAGTAGCTCTGAAAGTAATCTCATACTTTTGCAAATATATTCTAAAGATATATATATGGATTTATGTACCGACAATTTATGTTCATTTTTCTCAAACTGTACTAGTTTTGGTGCAAGGTGTGAACTAAAGCTTGTCCCATAGTAAGATTGCAAACTATTTTCAGCACTGGTTCTTCTTACCATGCGCCTTCATCACATCCAGTCCTCTCCATTAGAAGAAGCAATTAGAACAAAGAACAACAAACTTAGTACTGTGCTCATTGGTTGAGAGCCATGAACTGACATTCAGCCAATGAGCTTGTTTCTGCATTATGTATAGAGCTATTACCTGCTGCAAGAAATCTGATCCAGTGCTAAAGTGGTTTGACATCTTAATGTCGGACAGTGCCAGGGTCGCATGTTGACCCTAAAACTTATCCGAAGTAGAATATAGCTACAGTTTTTGTTACAGTATAAAAATAGTTACATCTATCTAGTTACAGAGCTGAGTCCTTATATTTATTGAGACTGCCTAATTATTATTATTTTTGTGTTTTGCTGTCATTTACAGGCCATTGTTCTCTCCAACTGTTTTGCTCAAGCAGGGATGTCTTTCCGCATGGACATGGTGAGCAGTTGCCTGGGTCCCCACAAGAATAGGGGCCCCAGTGCGATGCCCTTGTGCGGAGGCCGACAGAGAAGATAATTTCATCTCTCCTGCCGGTCTATACAGAGCCAGCCCTGCTAGCTGCCTTCTCAGACCGCTGGGGAGATCATTACATAAGGGGACAGGGAGGACCTGGAAGGCAGACAATTTCTGCCGCAAGCAGGCAGGTTGGAGCATTGGCGCGCTTTACCATGGCAACGTTCCGACAGTGCTCACCTGGCAGAAATGAAGTCAGCCTGCAGGCTTAAGGTCACAGCTCACCATCTGACCACAAGGGCTTGAAATGCTCCCCCCTCTTTTGCTAAAGGTAAGAAGAAGGGTGGGAAGGGGAGAACATAAAGCTTCTATATATTTATTTCTAAAATGAAAATAATAATAGATATATACATTTGCACCATATCGCTAGGCAGCCATCTCTCTCATACACACACAAACACCCCGGGTATATTATTAATGCAGTTTTTCAAATTGATTTCAAGTAGTTTTACAAAAATCAAAGGATTCCCTAAACACCAAGTGAGCCTGTGCCATTTAAGCATTCTGCCAGTGGTGTAAGTGGAATTTCTGCCAAACATTTTATTTATTTATTCACAAACCATTTGAAAGTGAATCTTACTCATTACCATGCCTCAATCAGAAGGGTAGGCTTTCATAATTCCTTCACTCTGCCAAACCACTTGAACATGGATTTAACCAGTGTGACTAAACAAATAGCTGAGATTCACAATGTTTCATATTATCTAAAAATTGATGTTCCCTCATCAATGCTCCTCTGCCTTTGATTTAACACAATCGGTGCTTCTATAGACTAATTAGCCCATTGCTGGTTGGGCTTTAATGATGGCTGTATACACAGATTGACTTGCCCATTGCTGGCTTGGTAATTAATAAACCTCTAGCCAGCTGCCATATCAACAGAATATTCCAAACAATATATTATTTTTTTTAATTCCTTTCCTATAACTAGTCCTACAGCCCCTGATAATAGCAATGCCAGCAATTGGATACAATGTAACGCACATGCAGGGCAGAATGGAACGTTGGACTAGGAAGCAAAGCACGTGTTGGTCTCTGACGTCATCCGAACGCGACGGTGTGCAGAAGGCCCCCAGCTGGACAACAGGCGCAGCCGGGGCAGCTAAAAGGTCCTTCCTCACTGTGAGCGTCCATGCTGCTTGATACATGTGAGAGATTCCTAATTTCTTACACAGCAAACCTTGTGAGTATATATACACAGTATACACCTCCCATATACCCTCACTGACACAGCACACAGGCATACATACAGACACCCCCACAGGATTTATAGAGGGACCAGGGGGGAGGGGGGGCTAGTCTCTAAACAGTGAATTGTAAAATATACAGGTTTATTTACTAAAGTGAGAATTCAAAGCGAATTTCTAATTAAAGGTAAAGTTGGCCAAACTGCACAAGCCCTCTAAGTCAGCTCTGCTTTCAGTTCTGATACTATGGCTTTAAATTTGAAATTCACTTTAATTTCTCACTGCAGTGAATAGCCAGCAAGCAGCTGCGTATCCGTAGTCTGTAGTGGAGGAGGGGAGTGGTGTCTCAGAAGCGGAGTAAGCAGTCAAACCGTTCGTGTATGTTTTGATTGCTGTCATTAGAAGCGCCAGGGCTTTTTGGGCACAATAACCGCTACAGCGCACTGCCATCGTTATAATGATAGTTTTCCTTTAGTTTTGTTTTTCAGACATTTGTTTAATGTAATGGAATAAATAAACAGAAAGTAAAAGATTTTGGGAAATGATGGTTCCTCATTAAACAAACACTGTAACCGTAGGAATGCATATCTGTATTCCTAACACTACAGTCTTTGTGTGCCTACTTAGTTCAGTCACCCCGTGTTAAAAATATTATTAATAAATGAAAATAAGTCACCTTCTCTCCAGCGCCCTGTATCCCTCAGCACTGCCTCCTCCCCGTGTGATGACAGTCAAATCCAATGCTTCTCTTATTGGTTACCATAAGTGCATGCATGGCACTCTCTGCGATGTCTATATTTCTGCCGTAGAGAATTATTGAATACATTGACTCTCTATGGCATACTGTGCATATGTGCAAGATGTCACGGTATGAGAGCCAGAAAGTAAGTGCTGGCTATCATATCTGAAGGGCTTGAATGTGTGGCTTGAAGCTGTGTTTCCAAGTCCAATTATTAAAATAAAGAGTTTTGGGGTTAGGACTGAAGGCACTATATAAACTTTAGTTAAAATTAAGTTTTTATAATGCCTGTAGTGTTCCTTTAAGCAATGTGAACAGGTGACATCAATAAGCTCCCCACCATAAAAAGTATAGATTTGATCCCAATGGTCCCTATTATTCTGTTACAGCTGGAGTGTAACAGGTCTAAAACGGAATTGAAGAGTTGATCGTAGCACCATGGTCACTCCAGGGATTTGAAGTGGTCATGGTGCTTTCAGGCTTTCTCCTAAAGAAATACTGATTGATTCTGATAGTAGTGTAACTCTTTCCCTGACATCACCATGAGTACGTGGTTAGCCAGCCTGGAAACAAGATATCTGGGTTGGCTAATGTCAATTCTCTGCATATGTTTGCACAGACACTCATTTATTGTCTGAGAGTGCTCAGCTGACGATCTCAGCCAGTCACTGAGTGACAGGATTGGCAGAAGCTGGATGTCATTAAACCTGCTGCAGAGGAGGTTCGGCTATCAGTGGTGACTCATATAAGAGGACAAACTGCTGCAAAAAGGTTTGCTCCATTACATGGGAACGGTTCCAGAGTACTCCTGGCATAATATTTACCAAAGTAGGCATGCTGGTACTTAAATTATCTTAAACTTTTTCAGAGAGAGGAAAAAGAATGTCCCCACCCAGGCAGCTTATTTTTCTGATTCGTTTAAAAATACTTTTTTCTTTCTTTCAGTACTACAATAAAAAACTGTTTACATTTACATACTGGAATAAATAATTTATTTTATTCAATCTACAAAACAAAATAAAAATAGTAGACACTCATATACCCTTCTTCACTCATGCATTTACCTGTTTCCCCCCTCTCTTTCTTTCCCCTTTGCTCCCAATGAAATCCTTGTCATTTACTTTTATATTTTCTGTTCAGTGTTGATAATATTCTGCCAGAGAATTGTGTGTCATAATGCAGAGGAAAAAGATTGATAATCGCATCCGGGTGCTCATTGAGAATGGCGTCAGTGAAAAACACAGGAACTTGTTTGTGATTGTTGGAGACCATGGAAAAGATCAGGTGAGGAAACACAACACAGGAGCTCGATACATATTGAATGTCATGTGTGAGGATTTAACATTGTGACACTGCAGACCATGGTCTATATGCTGTTAAGGGAAAAGACAGATGCTGAAAAGTTCTAATAATCTGGAGAAATCATCAGTGGTTTGTTTGTTTGCTTTTGTTTAGTTTTCATTTGCTTCCATGGTGACTACTCTACTCTATTTGTGGAATTTTGCAATATTGTTCTTTATGCTTAAAGGTCACCTGTCACCTCAAAACTATTTTTTAAAGGGATTCTTTAGTTCCGTGAAAACAAAGTTGTTTTCCTGGCACTATAGAACCCTACTGTGCTGCCCCCCTCCCGCGATGCTGATGGGGTTAAAACCCCTTAGGTCACTTAAATGAATCCAGCGCCAATATCCTCAGTGCTGGGTCAGGCTCTGCCCACGATCCTCCCCTGCCGACGTCAGCGTCAGATAACGGACCAAAGGTTTGTTTCAATTCAGGAAGTCCTTCTAGTGGCTCTTGGTAGACAGCCACTAGAGGTGGAGTTAATCCTCAGAGGTAATTATTGCAGTTTCTCAGAACCTGCAATAATTACCACTGTAGGGTTAAGGGACATTGCACAGAGACCACTTCAATGAGCTGAAGTGGTCTGGGTGCCTACAGTGTCCAATTAATATAATTCATCAAGTTTTGATAGGAAATATTTGGGTTTTTTTTTTTTTGGTTTTTTTTTGGGGGGGGGACACTATAGTCACCCAGACCAGGTCTGGGTGCAGTGTACCTTAATCCTACAGTGGTAATTATTGCAGTTCCTGAGAAACTGCAATAATTCCCTCTGAGGGTTAACTCCATCTCTAGTAGCTGTCTACCGAGATGCAATAGAGGAACTTGAATTGAAACAGATTTTTGGTCCGTTACCCTTTTCCCCCACGCTGGAAAGAGTTGAGTGAATAAAATGGGTTTTAACCCTTTATTCACCAGTACCAGGGACGGACCTTTAGTTAATTTCAGAGGGACACTATAGTGTTAGGAATGCAGATTTGTAAAATAAATAAAAGTAATGAGAAACGCACCCCAACCCGTAGTAATGACAGGATTCTTCAGGCAGATACATCTTGGCTCGCATAGTGTCTGAAAGCCGACTGTTATGGAATTATTCATTAAAGGGAGAATTTCACATTAAAGGTCAGAGTAGCCGAACTGAGAGCCTAACTGACTTGGGGACCTGGTCGTAAAATGAATTGGTTGGTAAGTGAGGCGCATGTGCACCAGTGCAGGTCTATATTCGGGGAAATTTCTCTGAACGTATACATATGCACCAGAGCAGGAAATCCCTCTAATCTATGTGCGGGGAAAATTCCACAAACATAGACCAGCTCTCTAACGTGGGGAATCCTTGAATCCTCACGCTAGAAAGTGTAAGCCGTCGCAAAGTGAAGACCACCTGTACATGGCTGGAGGATCCTGTCGTACACTAAAGGTAGTGATGAGTTTTTCTTATATATAATTAAACTATTTCCTTTCAAAACTTGATGAAATGATCATTTATATTAAAAGTGAGGCGACAGTTGTCCTTTAACTGTCACTGTCTCTAACAGGCAACTGTGTTTTTGCAATAAGCTTAGAAACATAGAAACATCATCCATAATCATTTATAGGCTAACAATGGGAGACCTGTGGAAATGAAACTTTGTTGCTATTTTCATGAGAGATTTCACAGGCTACCTTTTGTGGTAGTGGTGTTGTGTTATCTATTGATATCTAAAATACTTGTTATTCAGAATATGCCACTTCACGGTTATGTCGTTTTGTTTTTCCTGTTATGTGACCATTGTTACCATTTGATATACCACAGTGATTATGGGATGTTATTTCTGTTTGCGTATCAACTCTTAAACAGACTTTCAGTCACAAATAAAACTAGTTATTAAACTGTGTCCGATCCCCAGTTTCCATTTTAGCATCATACGAAAGGCAGATCACTTTTCTGAAGAGAAAAAAAAAAAAAAAAAGGTCTGGAAATGCTTATTACTTGTGAGCTGAATGTGATAAATGCATTCTATTGATAATTCATACAAAAAGATACATTATAAACATGGCATGTTTGAAGGCTCAACTTCTGCTGTAAATACCATGGCTTAATGCAACAAGCTCTGCCCATAACTGTAAGTGGTTAAAGTAATTGGACGGTTCCAGCGTATTTTGATGGGATGTGGATATATAACTTACAGACACATTCTCAGCACCATGACCACTGTATTCATTGTAGGAGTTATGGTACAAGCAGATTCAGACATTGTCCATTGATTCTATGTCAAAAAAAAATTTCTAGCACAAACTTAAGGTCTCCCGGCTGCCCATGACTTGTCTTTCACTTATCACATTGTCAATGCAGAAGTTACACGTCCACATTAGCAAAGTCCATTTCATCCAAATTTTAAATGGCATTAATTGTGTTCAAGCATCAGCTGAGGCACTCAGTCTGTACGATCCCCTTGGCTTGGTTGGTTTGCATTTGTTCTCGCTGTGGAAAGAACGTAAGATTCATCCTAATGGAATTCTTGGACATCTTGCTGTGTAGAACCCCCAGTATTTTGTTCAAAATTGCGGAGATGGGATTATTCTGCATATGGATTATTTGTTATTAAATGGACACTATTGAGTCACCCATACCACTTCAGCTTAATGGTGTGGTCTGGGTCCCAGGTCCCCCAGGTTTTAACCCTTCAGATGTAAACATAGTTTCAGAGAAACTGCTATGTTTACATTGCAGGGTTAATCCAGCCTCTGGTGGCTGTCTTTCTGACAACCGCTAGAGGCGCTTCTGCAACGCTGGGTGCGAAAATCGCATTCAACGTGCAGAATGTCCATAGGAAAGCATTGAGAAATTGTTTGAATGCCGTGCATGCGCATTCCGCTCCACCCAGAACCAGACGTCGGCATGGGAGGAGAGGTCACCAGCGCTGGATAAAGGTAAGTGGCTGAAGGGGTTTTAACCTGAGGGTGGGGTGTACCTAAGAGTTATATAATGTCAGGAAAATGAGTTTGTTTTCCTGACACTATAGTGATCCTTTAATTATATTTTCGATTACTTCTTGATCTCTTTGGAATTGGTGATATTAATGACAGATGAACCTTCATTGTTTTAAAACTCTCTCGTCAGGTGGTCATTCTCCATCACATGCTGTCTAAAGCCACCATTCGTGCTCGTCCGTCCGTACTTTGGTGTTACAAGAAAGAACTGGGCTTCAGCAGGTAACTATTCACTTAGTATCTTTTTTTATTACCAACTGATAATGCTCAGGAGTTGTTAGAATAGATGGAGCTGGAACCAGTCTCTCTAGTGTTTCTAACTGATTTTCCACATTTTGTAGTCACCGAAAGAAACAGATGAGAAAGCTTCAGAAGAGGATAAAAAGTGGTTTGCTCAACGTGAAGGAAGATGACCCTTTTGAGCTCTTCATTGCATCCACCAACATCCGTTATTGTTACTACAATGAGACCCATAAAATTCTGGGAAATACATATGGCATGTGCGTCCTACAGGTGAGCATGAAATTCTGGAGCATGTAATAGATCACCTGGATTGCAAGGAATGGGGCTTTGCAAGGTCAGCGCATGCAAGAGACAGCTCAACTAATATTCTGCTTTGTGTTCGTATTCGGTGCTGGTAAGTGGGAGCCTTCCTAATGTCATTAAGAGAGGACTGTAGTTTCAGGTGGATCCACAAGTTCCTAAGTAATGTAGATCACAGCAATATTTCTATAATTTGTGTCTGATTATTCTTCTAGTCTAAAAACAAACAGGGCAAACAAAGTCAGTTTACTGGTTTAGATCTGTCTTACATGGTTATGTTTTTGATTAATTCTACTGTTTTGTGGCTATTGATACATCCTGAAAGAATAAGAAATAGGGAGGAAAGCTCTGTGTAAGGTAATTAAAGGGACACTCTAAGCACACCTTAAGGTAAGAATCCATTGTTTGTAACCAATTTGGCACTTACCTGTGTCTCGTGTGTGTGCCCCTCTTCAGATATCATTTAAGCAGAAATTCCTTCTTCCACATTCATATCAATTCTGTTTGTGTTTTTTGACGGAGAGCATGAGCGGACTCTCTCGTCCAGTGAATTCTATCCAAATTTAGTCCTTCTGCTCTGCAAATAAATATGGGTTGCACCAGTGGACCCTTATAACTAAGTGGCGATTGTCAAATTGTATAAAAATGGGTTGACTCGTACCTAGGTGATGGCGCTAGAGGACTCCTGGCATCGTAACCACTACAGCACAATATTTATTTAGTTTTCGTTTTGTGATTAGGACAAAACACGTCAGTCAGTGCTTGTCTGTTTTATGTACATCCCTTGCATAGTTACCTTTTATTTTACATGTAAAACCTAAATAAAACAAAAATTGTTAAATTTTATATTAAATGAAACAGAAACTTCAAAGTTGTCAGCTAAACTACTAACCTGCTAATGGTTCCTTTTTAGTTTATTTATTGTATTGAAAGTAAACCGTATCTGGCCTTTCTTACATAAATGTTTTTCATAAATCCAGTTTGTTGCTTGTATTTAACATGCACTTGGTATGTAATATCCAGTTAAGGTTGTAATTCATTTATATGGCAATTCTCATGCTCCGTCTGAACCGGTGGTGCATGCTGCAAGAGTAGTAATGGAAAAAGCAAAAAAAATATAAAAAAATTAACTTCAAGTATTATGAAAGTGTTTCAAGTATAGAAAATTAGGATTCTTCAACGGCCTTTACTTCCCATTGCTGGAACTAATTACGTAGACTATGACGTCTGTACTGTGAATGCTCTTTGAATAAATTTGGGCAGCAATAGTGTGCCCCTATAACTAATCTGCACTTTGTGGATGGATATTTTGGGTTGCTATATTTTGTTTGCGGTTGGGGCTATTGGTATTGTGCTATACCACACTTCTACATCATAGTTTTAAAATAGTAGATGCATAGGGGCACAGTCTGTGTTGGTCTGTGCAATTGTACCCATAGTTTATTCACCAGGTGTGTGTGTTTGTTCTTTTTTTTTTTTGCTCTATTGTCAGGATTTTGAGGCGCTGACTCCCAATTTACTGGCTCGGACGGTAGAGACAGTAGAAGGTGGGGGGATTGTAGTGATTCTCCTTCGCACAATGAGTTCTTTGAAGCAGCTGTACACAATGACTATGGTAAGTATGGAGAGAGAGCGCAGAACAATATGTTGCACACCTGTGTGTAAATTATTGAGTTAATGATGTTCTATGTTCGCGTAAAAAAAAAAAAAAAAATGTATGTCTATTTGCGTGCAGTTCAAAGCAACAAGAGATCTGTGCTGTTAAAATGAATATATATATATATATATATATATATATATATATATATATATATATATATATATATATATAT